CCCCCGCCTTCTGCCTCCCACCCCCGCCTTCCTCCACCGAACCTTCACGGAACATTACTCACGTCGCCGCCTCTTGCGACCCGCGGCAGGACGCGGCAAAGTACGCCCAAGGTCGCGGGATCTTCGCCAGCGGCTCTCCGTTCGAAGACGCCTCATACGATGGAAAGGTTGGTGTTGTTTTTGCTATTCATCCCGCCTGCTTTGTAAATGGAAACCCTTACCTGAAAAAAATCAGGAAGACGTCAGGGCTGTCCTCGTTGATTGTTTCTCCGTGGTAATTTTTCCGCTGTGAAGATCACGGTGATTGCGATAAAATGGGAAACCGCGCGTGTGCGTGCCTCAACCAAGGAGGGGATCCCGCCGAGGATCACGTTTTCCCTCTTTCTTTAGTCGGTAGTGCTCACCACAGCAGTAGGCTTGAGGCACCATATGCCATGCGCTTCTTTGTGCACACACAAGTGCCGAGCTCGCTCGAGCTCGCTCCCGGCTTCGTTGACGCGGAGGCTACACAGGCCATCGTTCATCAAGCAGTAGCCTTCCTTCGCAAGCCTTTTCGTTATAAGCATACCTGTTGAGTAACGCGGAATCCGGGGAAGTTTGGGTAAGGGTTAGGGATGAAACGATCTGCGTACCCCCTCCCTCTATTGTTTCCTCATAAACTTGATTTCTCGCGAAGGCGGTCCTACACAAGGCCTCCGCTGGGATGGTCAACGAGACGGATAGAACCGACAGGGGGCATGTGTGTGCGGACTTGATAATCAGGTTGTGCGCGAGAGGAGATAAGCTGGATCTTGTTGAGGGCACGCGGGGGGTGGCACAAGTGACGTCAGTGGCTAAGACCCTCCACGACTACGACTGGTACACTGCGCAACATGATGCCAGCGATTATTTGTTTTTTTTTTTGTGTGTGTGTGTGTGTGTGTGCATTTTTTTGACGCGCCTGTGTTTGTGCACACGCAGGTCCTGGCGAGCAACCAAAGCAACAACCTCTACATCTTCCCGGGGCTAGCGCTCGGGGCCAAGCTATGCGAGGCCAAGCTGGTGAGCTGTCTCATACTTTGTTGGTGTTGGTGATGGTGTTGGTGTTGGAGTTGTTAATGTCGCTGCTGTTGGTGGTGTTGACGTTGTTGTTGTCGATGTTATCGTCATTGCTGTTGCTGATGGTGTTATTGTTGATAGCGTTCTTGTTGCTGCTATTGTTTTTGTTGCTGTTCCAGCCTTCCCTCGTCCCTTTTGACAGTGACCCCCGTGCCATGGCACGCTTTTTCCTCTGCCTCCCCTTCCGCGTGACGGATGAGATTGTCACGGGGTCGTCCAGTAGCAACACATCTCCCATACTACGGATGCACATGTGACACCCATGTCACGGCTCGTTATTTCCTGCCTCTGCCCTCCCTTCCAGGTGACGGACGGGATGATCATGGCAGCGTCCGAGGCCCTGGCTGCGTCGAACCGCCCGGAAGACCTTGCGGAAGGGAGGGTCTACCCGGGGCTGTCGGACGTCCGCGGCATCAGTGTTAGGTGCTGTAGCCAATGAGTCGAACATCGAACGCGCATGACCCCCCTGTCAGTGTCAGGTATTTATGTAGTCGATTTGTCGAACAGCGACCGGGGACACCTCAACAACAACAAGGGCATCAGTAGCAGTGGCGGTCGCGCACTGTTTTTGTCATCAATTTTGGCTTCCTTTGGCTTGGGAGGTGAGTCGGTCGGTCTCCCCACACGCTCCCCCCCTCGACGCCTTGCCCCAACGAGACTGGTGCATCGCCGGTAATAGGTGTCAAGCCCCTCCCCGTCCATCCCCACCCCTCTCCTTCCCACTCTTCCTCCCTCCGCCCAGCCCACAAGATATATGCCAGTGGTTCGTAAGCAACATGTGGGCACCCGTCATGAGGAATGACCCCCATACCACATCGCTCACACATGTATGCGTGGCTGGTTCCCGCACCTGCCGCACAAATTTCTAACCCCTCTCGTATCCCGTAATTTTCGTGTTCGTTTTCCGGACCCATGGCGCGTTGCGCGCCGCTGCACTGCTGTTGTGTCGGATGCGCGTAGCGTCGCGTGCGCTGTGATGAAGCAAGCTCACGCGGAAGGCATGGCAACGGAGGAGAAAGCTATCGTGGCCATCGAGAGGGATAGGCGAGCGTTCGGAGACGACCACGACGACCGAAGGGACGAAGATGACCTGGTAGGCCGGATACGGAGTGGAGTGGTGTACGGGTGTGTCGCCGCTGTCCTTGCTGAGAAAGGCAGGGCCATGTATGTGTTTGCTCTGCTGCTGTAGGATAAGTCATGCCCTCCTGTTGCACAATGAGGTGGCATGCTCCACGCTCTTGTAAGGTGGTGGGGAAGTGTTTTTTTCCTCGGTCGAACGCACAAACGACTTTGTTAAAGTAGCGGTGTGAACACATGCCATACTTGATCGGGAGCGTTTGTCTTTTCCGTCTCTTTCTCACCAACCGCCACGGCTCGACCTTCGGCATTCACCGCGCTCTAGCCTAAGAACTTCCATTCGGGGGCCACGCAGAATGTACAAAATCGTTTGGTGCATGTGTGCCGCCAAAATAAGAGCCTCATTGGGCCTCATCACCCCCAATCCCCGCGTTTCCCCCGCTTCCGAACGCCCGTGCAACCACCCATCCGTGTGTTTGTTTCATGTGCATGCCACCACGGCCACCCCCGCCCGGTCGCAACGAACGATAGTCGCCGCTGGGCAGATACGTGACGAACAAGATGTACTTCCCCGTCTACACCCCTCTGGCCTACGTGCCCCATGGTGTTCTGGAGTGACTTGACTCGTCGACTGCTGCCATCCGACCGGTTGGGGTCAGCACCAGATACATACGATGCGGAGCAGCTAGCCGTGCGAGGCGCCCAGCCGCGGCGAGCCGCGTGCATCCGGAATTGTGGCACTAGTAGTAGTTGTAGTTGTAGTGGAAATGTTTTTTTTTTGTGTGTGTTTGTCGTGTGCTATCGGTCGTTTTGTGTCCACTTTTCTTGTTCAAGATTGTCTTGGCCAGGTTTTTGCCTCGTACACTTATTTCCCTAAGGAAATTTCGGACAAGATTTCTAAGTTGGTTTTTTCGGGATAGCGCTGACTGAAACCCCAATTTGCAAGTCGGGAATTTTGTTAATTGTACCTGTCTTAGGGGTAAACACGAGCTCTCTGTCTTGGGAGGATTGAGGGTCTGCGGTCTGTGCGCAGACTCGATTTAAACAACCATGCATTGGACTAATTTGTGATCTGGCCATAATATAGCTGACTCCTCCTTACTTTGGCCTCCTTGTCGTGCATGTCATGTAGTCTACAGAAAACAAAATAAACAAATACCCGTATGCGTTATGTACAATGACTATTTGATGATGACTAACGAAGACTAATACTAACTACGGACCGGCAGGATTCTCTCCTCAAGTCGTAAGTCGTTTGTTGTCCAAACCTCTGACGGTAGTATGTGGTGGTATGCATATTGTCTGAAGGAAGCAGCAGTTGTAGCAGTAGTCCCCTCTCTCAGACTGCAGACCACGTGCGTATTTTGTAATTCGAAGGACAAGTAGTATTTGATTATTACGACCCAAAACCAGCCGAGACCACACATCGAGAGCTCGGGGGGGACGCAGGCTACCACAGGCTGCAGCCAGACTTTAATCTCGGCTCCTCGGTTTTGGCACAAGAGCGAGAGATGACGCACATCCACACATACTTGCATGCAGGCATACATAAAGGAAGGAATATATACGTGTGAGAGCTGTTCGCCATATCTTCTATGCCAATTTGTCCGTTGCTTCTAACCCGGCCAAGGGCCACCCGCACGTTTCTACCTGCCAGAACAGTCAGCTGTAGTCTTCTAGAAGCCGAAATCAAACAATTGGACTAGTCGACCTACTTAATGGTTTGATTCGGCTTCTATAAAAGTTAGTCGTAGGGTTCACCCATACTCTGGCCGGGAGTGTCCAGGGTTTCAGGAAAAAAACCCTTGAACGTGTCCAGCCCGGATCGCGAACCGTCGACTAACTTTAATAGAAGCCGAGATGAAACCATTAGATTGGCTGAATTGTCCAATAGTTTGATTTCGGCTTCTATAAGTCTCCCTCTCAGACTGCAGCACACGCACGTACTATTATTATCATCGTTGCTGGTAACCACACCATTTTCATCAGAACCGTCCTCGCTCATTGGTGGTTTTTGCGCAGATATGTTCGTTCCTGCGGATGGATCGGAAATATTTACCATTTTCCCACCCATTTTGTTCCAACAAAATTGCGGTTTAACGTCGTCAGGGGTTCGAACCCTGCGGCTCAACTGTCACTCTTTTTTTCGCACTTTTGCTCGTTTTTCAATATGGACTGTCTTATCCAACCTCCCAAATCCATGTACAGAACGTCGATCAACTCGCATCATACACGCCACACATATGTCTACAGCTTTGGCACAATAGGGCACAGGGCTTCAGACGAGGGCGGGACTTCCCCCGGGCTCTTATATGAACAAATCTCGGGTGAAACTCTTGGGGGTCATATCTCGCGGCGAAATCCGACCCAACCTCAGAGAACTTTCAAGACCTCTCTCCATTGGCGCTTGCGGGACCCGAAAAGTCTGATATCGAAGAGGAGGGCAAGCTCTACTGGCTGCCCACTTGCACTTTCTTTCGCGTTATTACCCCGAGACAGGACGCTTAACCAATGTGCAGACAATCCTTCCCTCCGGTAGAAATCACGCGGGGATGATGACGAGAACTGAACATAAGCATATACATGCGGGCAATGCTGTAGTACGACAGCCAAAACTAACGAGACGCAACAGCTCTATGAATTCATGGCTATTCTATCCCTGACTCTTCTTCATGCGTGGAAGAGATAGATTGATTGGTGTACTTTCGTACAAAAAAATAAAAAAATAACTATTACACGCCGTGAAAGCTCTACCATATACGGTGTGAAAAGCTCGTGTGTGTGCGTATATCTCTTTTCTCGAGATCGTGAAACAACCAACTAAACAATGGCAAGAATTCCTCCCCTCCTCTCGCTTCCGCCGCTAGCTAAGCAGCAGCAGCAGCAGTATAATACTATAGACTATTGGTCACACCCTCCTCCCGTCTCCCTCCCTGCTGGCGTGTATCTCCCTCCACCCTTGCCCCATCTCCGATAACAAAATTACCAGCCGGTTACCAGCAGCGGCAGGCAAAAACCTGGTTCGAAACATATAACGCCTCCTCCTCGACTCTCAAGCAGTCAAACACAAACAATAACCCCTCCTTGTAAAACGCGGAAAATCATCGAAACGTCAACTACCAAAACCCGATAAGAAAGTCCCAAAAAACATTCGATTCCGTATCAACTTCGCCCGTGAACGCGGGAATTAATCCAAAACTTCAACTGACACACAACGCACCATTGCTTGTGGTACTGCGGCGGGCATCATGTTATCACATCACCCCCTCCCCATGATAACCGACGGAACACCGCGACGTCCAGCATGCCAACTCTGCATTCCAAATCCATCAGATAAAACTTCCAACCGAAACAAGGAACCAAAATATGCATATTTCAAAGAAAATATTTCACACGTCCAGCACATCAGTCACAAATAAACTCGTGCCAGCGCACAACTTGTCCTAGATGGGAAGGATATTGGTAGTCCGCAAGGATTGACTGCAAGGTTATCGGTACATCGGAGGGACTAAAAAACAGTAGCACGTCGCCCGCAAAACAACGCCTACACATATCCAGTGTCACCAGAAAAGCATAGCGGTAGCTTCCATAGAGAATACTGTCCCAACAAAGAAGGTAAGCTGAGCGTGGAATAAACCTTTCCCAGATATAAATGTTTTACCATCGCCGTCTGAGAAATGTTTGCTGGCAACTCCCCCCCCGCCACAATGTTCCATTTCTATCCCAGAAAATTATCCAAAACCTATCATGGAATTTCCCGTCATTTGGCCAAGGAAATCAATGTCACTGCAAGGTAAAACGCGAGTAGACACTCCGCAGAACAAAACCAAAGCAAATCCAAACCTGCAAGAGTGGCAACGATAGGAAAACTGATTTGCAACCATTCGAACAACGGCGAAGAGTGCAACAGTTATATGGGATCTGAAGACCAACACAAATTACAACAGACTGCACAACCCCAAATCAAAGCAAAACGAAAAGAACACGGACGCGATAACATCACGTGCCTTGGGCGAGTTTACGACCCCAGCAGAAGTTGCGCTGCTTGTTGTCATTGTTGAATTCTCCCGATCCTCCATAGTCCCTCCTCCGCCTCATGGTCCTCCTGCCACTGCCTCGGCCGCGAACACGAGCGCCCCGACCGTTGCTCCCGCGACATCTTTCCACGGTCGAAAGGGGTGTCGACCCCCAGCACCGACCCCCGTACCCCAGCCCTCATAAGCCACCGTTTCCCCCGGCCGGAAGGGCGCAGCAGTGCCCGAAACCAGACCACATCCATTCCCTCTCCGTCGTTGCCGATGCTGCTGCTGGATCCATCCACCAGGTCGTCCTCCCCGCAATCGCTGGCGCCGCGCACCCTCGCAAGCACGGTTCGGGATCGAAAGGGTGCGTGGACGCCCCCCTCTCGCCACAGCCGCTGTCATCCCAGCCGTCACAAACCTCGCCGGCATGCCAACCACCATAATCGCTGCCGTTGTCGATGTCGACCACTGTTGCGTCGTTGCAGCTATCCTCTGGCTGTCGTTGCCGCCGTCTTTGACTACCTCCTCCCGTCATCGTTACAACGTTGGGCAAATGCTCATTCACATCAGCGACGACGGCCTCTTTCGCCGCTGTCGCTCTTGGTGCTCCCATGGCTTCAGTGGGTGCACTGGCTGCCCCCCCAACCGATATTGTGTGATCGACGCCATCGCGGGTCACCGCCGTCACTGCTGGTGCCGTCGCCGATGCTGCCGCTCCAAGTGCCAACGCCGGTGCTCCGGTCGTGGTCGCCGCCACCGCCGCGGATAGAACACTGCCGCCGGAGGCCACCGCCGTTGCTGCTGGAGTTGCCGCCGATACCGCCGCTCCTGCCGGCATCGCGGGCCTTACGGCCAGTTCTCCCCGCTACAGCAGCGGGGAAACCACCACCGCTGGGAGAATACTGCTGCCAGTGTGAACCACGTCGACAGAATCATGCCTTCATCCAAACCATCCGTCATTGTCAGCGCCCACAGAGCCGCCAGCGTGAACCAGGTAGACAAAATCAAAGTCGGGCTCGCTCTCTACCACCACCACCTGCTGCTGCACGACCGGGCCTCCGCTGCCATTGCCGCCGATCCCGCAGCCACCGCTGGCGCTACGGCCGCTATTCTCGCCGCGGCTGCCATGAAGAGCACGGGGTGGCGAGCGGCGCAGTTCCGCCATATATGGCCGTACTGACTATGGGCGCAGCACGTACCCTCGAGCCTGCGGGGTGCGGTACATCCTCCGACGTGATGGCCGTTCCTGCCACACCCGATGCAATGGTATACCGTGCCCATCGGCGTGCCGGGTGGCGGGGGTGATTTCGGCTGGAAATAAGCAGCGTTGTTCCGGCAGTCATATACCCCACCGATTCCGCGCTGCGGCGGCTGCTTTTGCTGCCGCGCCGGCTGCTAATAATGCTGACTCTGATTGAAAACGCAGTGTTGATCCTGCGGACAGACGAACCACCACGAGAACACGGCTGCAACTGCGATGGATGCTGGGATTGAGCACCCCATCGCTGTTGTTGTTGTTGTTGCTGCTGCTGCTGCCTAAGCCTTTGTACCTCATACTTGGCAGTCTCTGTATTGCGCCGCCTCTCCCCTGTCTCAGCGCCAAAATCTGCAGCCTCCTGCTCCGAGCAAAGCCACATCATCCTATCTCGACGCCCCTCTCCAAAAAATCTACTACATGATACCTATCCCGTGCCCTGCTGCCTCAGCGCTCAAGAGCTGCCCCAGCTATGCACCCTCTGCTGTCCCGGTCCCCAATGGTCACCGTCCCAGCTATATACCCACTGCTGTGCTCTCCGTGCCCGTCGGCCACGTCCCAGCTTCGCTATGCAAATCGCGTCCGTCGCCCGATTGGCCCGAGTCCCACCGTTCAGACGCCAATACCCCGCTACCAACGATGCACGCGGCTCGCCGCTGCTGGGCGCCTCGCACGGCTGGCTGCTCCGCATCTTATTATGCATCTGGTGTTTACCCCAACCGGTCGAAACCCTTCCTGGGTGGAGGCACGCACACGCAGGGTCCCCCATTTTTGGCGATTCCCGTCATTTTACCACGGAAGAATTACCACGGGGGAATATCAATAGTTATCGAGGAGAGTATTTTTCTGATTTTCTCAGGGCAGGGTTTCCAGATACAAAACAGGCGGGGGGGTATATGGCAAAAAACAGCACCAAACGTTCCACCATAGGAGGCGTCTTCGAACGGAGAGCTGCTGGCGAAGATCCCGCGACCTTGGGCGCACTTTGCCGCGTCCTGCCGCCGGTCGCAAGAGGCGGCGACAAGAGAAATTGAGTAATGTTCCGTGAAGGTTCGGCGGAGGAAGGCGGGGGTTAGGAGCAGAAGGCGGGGGGAGGGGGGGAGGGAGACAAACAGAGAAACAGGAGTGGAGAGAGAGAGAGAGAGAGAGAGAGAGAGAGAGAGAGAG